CACGACATTGGGTTAGGCATTCTAATTGTGGGACTAATCAAAGCGAAAGCTCTGTTACAATTTGATAAAAATTAAAGTCTTTAATCGGTCAAGTTGTTTATTTAAATTACCTCGTTACATAACATTAATCATTACACTTAATTAAACTTTTTTTAGAGTAACACTTAAATATTTTTCTAACTAAATAAAAAAAATCTTTTTTATACTAATAATTATTACTATGGTGGGTAAATTAAAATAAAATATGTCGTGTTTAAAAAATTTTGAGTAAGCTAATAAAAAATGGATGAAATGGTCAGCTGATGGTGTGGACTGATCACCCGGCCTGCTATGGGTGTCCCTCACTTTATGTATGTACATAGAAGGCTTGCAACGTGAGTTAGTGATTTCTTTCTTGAGTTTTTCAACGAACACATAGAAATGGCGCTGTCTGGAATAACAAAGCAATAAAGCGTTTTCAACAAACAAATGAAGATGGCGCTGTCCGCAACAATAGGAATAATAAAGCGTTTTCAACAAATAAATGAAGAGGGCGCTGTCCGCAACAATAGGAATAATAAAGCGTTTTCATAAAACATGAAGATTACGCTGTGGTGCTGGCTGACAATAACAAGAACAATAAAGCGTTTTCAACAAACAAATGAAGATGGCGCTGTCCGCAACAATAGGAATAATAAAGCGTTTTCATAAAACATGAAGATTACGCTGTGGTGCTGGCTGACAATAACAAGAACAATAAAGCGTTTTCAACAAACAAATGAAGATGGCGCTGTCCGCAACAATAGGAATAATAAAGCGTTTTCATAAAACATGAAGATTACGCTGTGGTGCTGGCTGACAATAACAAGAACAATAAACCGTTTTCAACAAATAAATGAAGAGGGCGCTGTCCGCAACAATAGAAAGAATAAAGCGTTTTCAACGAAACATGAACATGGCGCTGTCCGCACCAGACCTAGAATAACACATTCCTATATAGTATCGCCCCTAACTACTAACATAGTCGGATCTGCAAATCGGCAACTTTATAGGAGAGCGATTCAAAGTTTCTTTTGTTTATATTTTTGTAATCGTTACAGATATAAGCATGAAACTTTGTTTGTTGTATCGTGCAAGATGTGCATTTATTAGTGGAACTTACGTGGTATTTTACATGTAAATATTATAATGAGAAAAGTCCGTTGCTACCGGTTAAAATCAAATGATGATTTGTCAGAAGTACCGGATCCGACATTATTGCATCCGGCATGCATAACATTCATAAGTATTAGTCGGCAGTGGCACTCACATGTTTTCTTATTTTATTAATAAGGTATATCGTATGTAGTTTATGGAAATAAACGGCCAAAAATAATAAAAAAATTGTAACCTTTACTAATATAAAATACTACAATAAAATAAAATTACTTCAAATCAGTTTATTTCACTCTCAAAATCAAAACTGCGCGAAAATGAACAAAACAAAATAAAACATAGTTCACGAGATACAAAAACGAGTAATAATAAAAGTGAAATCCGGTCTCCCCATGGGGGCCATGGGACAAAAGAATTAATTTACATAGCGGTTGATCAGACTATTGTGGCCTGTGCGACCGAATCAGTCGAATCGCCCGGCCGAAATTATATTTGGCAGAGATTATTACTTGTACTTGTAAGTAATCTCTGCCATAATTGTTAGGTAGGTAAATTAGGTATACACCGTAAAGTTAACTTTCAAAAAGTCATGTTATAGTAAAATACGCTTACATCTTCTTATCTAAATCAACAGTATCTGCTAATTATAAATATAAAAGTATTTTGATTTTTTGAAGAAATAAGTGTTAAATATATGCCTGTATTGTCTCCTATTTGCTTTAATTATTATTTTTATTTATTTATTTCATTATAAACATATTCTACCATTACAGAAAAATTCCATTGCGATAGACTTATTATATATATATACTTATTTCATAGAGTGATGTTTTTGTCAATACATTTTGTCAAATACATACTGAAAAATTCGAAATAACTTACAACACTAGAAGGACTAGAGAACATAATATTAAAATCGCCGATAACAATATTTTTTTTTTTATACCTACTACATGTACACGGAATAAAAGCATATATTCATTCTCACCGCTATTCGGTGGAATGTAAATTACAGTACAAAAAAAAACAAATAATTGTTATTTAAATATATAGTGGCACAAGCCACTTCAAAATTACATTTGTCTATAGGGATACCTAAGGATTCAGAGTTCCGCACTGGGCGCAGTTCAAAGCGCGGTGCCGCCACAAGCATTACGCCGCCTTGCTTACGTCCATCTGCCCTGTCGCATCTCAGAATATGATATCCGGGTGGTACGATTTCCGAATCATGGATGGACTCATTGCAACCCGTTTCAGTGATGGCATATATGTCGGACTGCAATACATGTATATTTGTACGGAACTCGGCTAATTTAGTTCACATTTCTTATCAGTTTGGGCTTTCCGGGACTTGCGAAACCAAACCCATTCGCTAAACTCCGCATTGATGGGCCATGTTTCCGGCTGATTCAACTTGGAATACAGAGCTTCAGGAACGCCGACAATAAATGATGAGTAGTCTCTCTGCGATTTGTGCTTGATTTTCTCAACTTTTATCGATGCACTCGATCCGCAAATGTTCTCAACATAATTGGTCATTGCTTCTAGTGTCGTTTCGGGATGTAGACGCCAGACGTGCAAGTATTTTTTCCTCTCTATGCCCTTTATTGATGCACACTCGACGTTTTTTCCTACGAGCACGGTTTGAGATTGCTTTAACCTCGACGACTGCTTAGTCGTTACACTGCGTTTATTTCCTGTCTTCGGTACAAGCCTCCCAACACTCTCTTTGTCGGAGGAGGACATCGATGGCTGGGATACACATTCATTGCTGTGTACAGGTGCAGGTAATGCTGGTAACACTACTGATTCCGGCTGAGCCTGCCTGACTTTTGAGTGTTTCGAAAGAATCGGCTGAAGGATGCTTTGAGCGCTTTTTTCCGTTTCCGGGCTCTTTTTATTTAATAGTGTTTCCTCCAAATTACCCAATATTTTTAAAACACTATCAAGACTGGACTTAGTCTCCTGAAACTGCTTTTGAAGACATTTTATAGCTGTTGCCTGGCCATCCAGGCGAGAAACCAATTCGCTTCGCAGTTCCTTTAGCTGTCCCATAAGTAAACTTTCAGTCTGGATGGGTGACGACCCACGTAGTCGCGGCCCTCGCTGTGTATTGACATAATCAGGCGACGCAAAAGATATAGAATTATAGGGGCTATCGACACATTCTGAGCACATCCACTGCATCTTATATTCGCCGGTAAATGCATTAAACAGTTCATGCTCAATTCGCAGGCATTTTAAGTCAAATTTCTTTCTGCAACTTTGTTTTGAACACTGCATATAGTACGACTCGTCGGTGAGCGGTAACGCACAAACGGCACATTTATTCATCGCGTCGATTGGATTTAACTCTCGACGTTACTAAGTTCCAATGTGTTTGTAAAACAACAAATTTAATAAAAAGTTTCAATAATTTCTTCGTTGACTCAGGTTCGAACTCGATCCACAAGCGCAATTACCGTCGACTAGACCGTTTCGCCACACAGGCTATGTAAGAAGAGACGAATATATCGTATAGATGTTGCAAATTAGTCTCTAAGCAATGCAACAATAATTACTTATTATTGCTAATCGCGCTATTCACTTTCTTCACAACACTTTTAGATCACTCTTGGGCCTGGGATGACAATTCTGTGGCACCAATTATAGTTGCAATAGTCACACTCTCGGTTTTGTCTTGATTAGATATTTTACGGCCGACCCGGGACACGACACAAACTTGGATTCTTCCTGTTGCTTTATTCCGCCTTCGATGAGAAATATATCAATGTATGGTGTAGATCTTTGTATAATAATGCTTATTACACACTACTACTAGTACTTTTGTAAGTGTTTATATTTAAAAGTTAATTTATTGTTATGACACAATGTTGACGTTGCGACTACCCGCGTAATAAATTATATTTTTTTCAGAAGGAAACCATTTATCATACAATCCATAATTTCCAGATAAAAACATTCACTTTCTAAATACATTTTTGGATTTTTTGTGCTATAATGCAAATGTGGTAGTGATAGGGGTAATATTACGTCGCTAGCGACATCATATTTTTTAAAAACGTCGCCTCATCAAATCTGGTTCCAACCCGGGTGGCAATACTGGTTTTAAGTAGTTATTGTGACTCAAACGACTCGAAACCTCGAGAAAAGGGCGTAGGTACCTTAAAGTTTCTTAAAATGAGACTTTCTCTAAATTTAAATTAAAAACTTCCTTAAAAATAAAATAAAACTAATGCGTACGGTTGGTTGGTGCTATCGGCATTTACTTACGTGTGAATAATCGTCAATAATGTTATTTTATCTTTCAACACAATATGCCATCTCAAAACTTTCTTAAACGTTTTGCAAAAATTATATGTATATTGGGGACAAGTTCGTTTCGTGATTGTGTCACAACTTTCCCTAGCGACGCGCAGCCTTCCCCATTGCGCAACCATTTCCAACTGAAGGTCGTTTAACCGTACTCGTACACCAGGGACCCCAGCCACCCCAGGACCAATTCCCTTGACTTTGAGTTTTCCTATTTGTAAATAATTAATTAAATTTAAGATAAGACTTAGTGATCATGTCAAAAATATGAGGCCAAAACTAATTCAAGTACAAAATGACGCATGGATCAGTCCAATTAAATAGCTCGACGTACATGAAACCGATACGTCCAGATAACAATAAAGACCTTAAATGCACTTTCAATAATGAAACAAATGGAACTTCATTTCATTACAAAAGCAGACAACCCAATTTTCAAAGAACATTCTCGAAACGACGTTGTTTTCGCGAGTACGTCTAATGCAAAACCAAAAATGAAGTTGTTTAAATTTCCAATCTTTCGTATTCACCCTTATACTGTCTTTAATACCGTGATGTACATTCGACTGTTTCTCGGTCATTACTTTCATACTGACGAACCGAAAATTGTCTCGAATTTGAAGAGAGTGTATTGTCTGGTCTTTGTATTCCTCTTCACCATATTCTTCACTTACAATTTGGAAATCGATCTTGTCACACCTGACTTCTATATCCCAATAAAATTTGGAGTACTAATTATCTTATCATTCTTCTTCGAAACGTCCATTATTGAACAGATCATGTGCGTCAATTCTGTATATTATAAGTTCCACGGATTTCAAGAACGCATATCCTGCCGCGTGTTGCTTTATCAGCTTGCAGAATTCATTGTTGTTTTAATTAAGACTGGAATTTACCTGTTTGCTCTACGCGAACCACCCGGATCCCCTTTACTGGACAATGTGATTATATTCTCCATCGGTTTTTCGAACTTCCCAAAGGTTTTCTTTCTAGATCTCATATACGAGGCAATGAAGAGCTTGAAGCGATCTCTTCAGAAGAAATCGACAACTTTGAATGCTATTGGACGAGATGATATAAATTACGAAATTCTAATGATGAAGCAAGATTTGTTTGCTTACAAGCGACTTATGAATGAATTATTATGATATTAAAAATATATTTCAAATCTGCAATCTATTAAATGTCATCTTTCCATCGCCTTATTGTCATTTAGTAGATTTTTAAAAAGGTTTAGCTTTTCTAAATCATCTTTCTTATATGTAAATAATAATTGGTCCGTTGCATAATCTATAATAACAATAGGCTTGGTTTCAGGTTTTAGCAACGATAATTATTACCTACCCGACCTTCATATCGATTTTATACGACAAATATAGTTAGTTTCAGGTAAGATTTTTTGGATTGGATTTGGATTTCCGACCTTCGAAGGATTTTGCGCGTTCATCAACTACGAACTGACAAGTCAAAACACTTTTGAACGGCTCGTATACAGTTACATTAAAGTCGATGAAAAATTTGATTTCATTTGTTAAGTTATAAACGAATTATGGGAACTGTCTACTATGTTATTGATTATTAATTGTTATTTTTTTTGTTAAAAAATATTTAAAATTATGCCACTAATCTACGAAAGCAGTACCTATTGCAAGGATCTTGTGTATCACGAAGGTATCAACTAGTCTTCTGACTGAGTTAGAAAACTCTAACGATTTGTGAGAGTTAAGTTTGAAAGATAGACTTAAGTGTACCAATGTCTCGGACGTTAATAAATATTTTTTGGTTGTCGCAGCGCACGGAACGGAAACATATTGATCGCAGCGGAATTAAATAAAACCAATAAAGCCTTCCTTGATAATTAATGGTCTATTTAGTCATTATTTATTTAGTCGTACCTAAGATAAGGGCGTTTAAACAAATAAAAAACAAATTCTCTTATTAAAGTGTAGATGTAGTATAGCAGAAAGACATTCTTACATTTTACAATATTTTGCAGGATACGGCGAACTTCTTAATGGTGATGCTTGACTTAGTGCATATATTTTGTCACTAGTCGCACTACCTGTCACGTCAGAGCTGATCACAATAGAGCGGGAACGAATCCTGGATATTTTGGAGAAGCAAATAGACCGATGCCTCGGTAAGTAGATGAAATCACGCCGAATACTTTTTTACTAAACAGATTTACACCTTTTTTATTTAAAAACACGTAGTACTCTCTGGCACTGATATTTACGTCTTTTAAGGAATGTACTTGATTTTTAAATAGTATAGTAATAGTATAAGCTTAGGATATCTGGCACTATACGTCCCAGATCTCTTCGTTGCTTTGCGCTGCTGACTCGTGCAATGATTGTACTTAATTTTATTAGCATGTAAGCAACGAAGCTGCATTAGGGCATCCTCTGTCAAGGCTACGGTAGATTATAAATTAATAAATTCCAAAAATTCCTAGAAGTTCTTGGGTTTTCGAGCAGTTCGGTCGTGATCGATAAGTTGTTTTCGAATTTTTGAATGATATATATCTTATTTTATTTTATTTTTAAACAGGGGTTGCCGGGAAGAGATCGCTAAGGCCGATCGAAGCGATAAGGCCGCCCATTGCACTCCATAACTAGTAATGATATTTTTTTCTTCTCTAATAGTGGTATTTTTAGGATACACTTGTTTGTACTTTGTGTGTTGCAATAAAGAGATAATAAAAAAAATAAAGATGCAAATGAGTCTTCATGCAATTGTATAACGTTTTATGTCTTGATAACGGCCTCCCAATACACGCACATTTTTGTATCACTTTATTATATGCATTCCTCCATTCCATTGCTTTTTTAGGATCGAGTCATTCTTCAATATCAATTTCATCTGTGAAACTGTTTAGGGAAACATATCTGATACATTTCTTATTGTTTCTTGAGTTACTAAATTAATTAGTAAATAAGTAACGAAGACCAAAAACCAAAAAGCCTGACTCAACCGAGTTCCAATTGGGTCCCCGATTACCCTACAATGAGTCGCGTCATAAATAACTAGCTACTATAATAATACTTTAAGTGCTTTCTGGAAAAGAAAGTTTATTTACATAACCAATCAAAAATAGAAAACTAACAAAGTTAACTAGTACAGCTGTGAACCTAATACTAATCTTACAACTAACATTTTCTTACCTGGAAAAAGAAACGACAATAAAAGATATTCGCACTTTTTAGGCGACCGCATATAAACCATGACATTACAAAAATTTCGATACACGCACAGACTAATATAAGTTTCAATGACAGATTATATTATAATGAGTATGAGACTAGTGCGCCACCATGCGACAAATCCTTGAACTAGTGGCGCGCGCACATTTGAAACTCAATAATTCTTTACAAACATATTGCTATGTTGGTACAATTCTCACTAATAATAAGTGGTATTAAAGTAAAAGGTGGACGGTTCTTCTTCTTCGGCGAGATACTGTCGCGGACATTATTTCAAAACATTTGAAGAGGAATTATTCCTTTATTTTTCTTGTTTCTTGAACCGTTTTCACATTTATTCCCGTTTTTACACATTTTCACTCTTCCTTCGTTCCTACTGCACGCAGCTTGATGTTATTTAGCCTTCGTCGATAAATGGTCTAGTCAACACAAGAAGACTCTTTGGCTTTCTTTTCGTTATGTAGTAATCAGGTTAATTTTAGTAAGTATTTAACAAACACGAGTAGTTTTAATAAAGACACATTATTTAAAGCAAAATGTATGCCAGTATATGGTTGTTCCTTTGATATATAAGTGAGATATCCCGCCCACTTGGGGCGGTACGTACGACGGCCGCAAGTGGTTGGATTTCCGAGGACTGACACACTTCCTGGCTCGGTTGACCTAACTCCGCGTTGGTCTGTTTCACGACCCGAAGCGATATTTTCTTGCGTTACAAAGAAAAAATCATCTCCCGATAAAACCTATTAATCGTTACTACATTAATAACCTTTCATTAAGTAATGACCCCCGCTTGCTAATCGTAATTAGTAAAGATAAAAAACAAAAAGAAATGCTCGTTTAATATTATAATTTTATTTATTTATGCAAATGAGGAATAATATACGAAAGTATGGAGGGCAATGGGCGGCCTTATCGCTAACAAGCGATCTCTTCCAGGCAACCCAGATGTACCCATGTTTTTAAAATTAGCTTTAATAAAGGGAGAAGAATTAAGGGCAAGAAGAATAGAGCACAGAAGATAAATGGATATGTGCATCTCACCGAAAGTGAACAAGTCCATCCCAACACTTATGGAACGCGGAAATATGATCGAATTTTCTCAAGCCACATACGAATATAGAAATTTTGCAGACGTTCTAGCTTATCCAACCGTTCCTCATTTATATCCGGAGAGCATACGTCTGCATAAACCAGTATGCAGCATACGTCTGCATAAACCAGTATGCAGCATACGTCTGCACAAACCAGTATGCAGCATACGTCTGCACAAACCAGTATGCAGCATAGGAAGGAAATGACTCAGTCTACAAATGTTGAGGACCCATCGCGATTGTCTATAAGCTTAAGAGTTTGTTTGTTTTTCAAACACGCCAAATTCAAGAAGCACCGCTTGACCGACAACGGTTCATCGTATAAAAAAAGATTTAAACAAAATTTGCAGAGAATTTTGTATTCTACAATATTGATAGTAAATTTAACTAGTAAAAAACCCATTAATTAGGAGTAATACTGTATAACATCAAGACCCCCCTCGGGCACCCTTGGTCTAGCCGCAAACACGGCGAGCGCTGTCGCGCTCGCCCAAAACGCCCGGTTAGTATTCGTGGCTCCATAGGAACACAATACGAAATAATCATTCAAAAAAAAAAATATGACATCAAACAGCTGGGCGAATATTTCATTTCACATTCCTTGAAAAACTATGTACGAAAGAACAATTCTACTGTCTCTGTAGTTGTACACATTTAAATAAAACACGAATAGATGCATACAAGAATGATTCTTCTTTAAATGATCTATAAAAATGTCGGCGACCGGATTACCAATTATTTATTAGAGTTGTATCAATGTACTCGTAATAATTTTAATTTTATACACAACAAAACGACGGTGGCCGGATCACATAGTCTAAATATAAACATTGCGGAAAATAAACAAGACATAGCAGCGAAGCAAATATAATATATTTTGGGCAGTATAAAAAAAGTATAGTTATTTTTTAATACCTCATTTGTAATGAAATTTTATACATTAAAAGGCTTCGCTGATGCGTTTATATATATATATATCGCCGCAGGCATCCTATGAATGCTGATTATGCCAAGCACAAAATTAATTAAGTTCGAATCAATTAACTCCTGAATAATCGTTATTATTTAATTAATGAATTACTGAATCATAAAAGACTTGTTATGTTTATTGGTTCAAAAATATGAATTGTTAGGCAATGTCAGCCATATTGAAATGTAAGATTATTTAATTTAATCGCCTTAAATTAAAAAGGCTTTCATAAAATCATTTTACTCGTTAAATAATTAAGTTAAAATTATTATCAAATTATAACAAACTGCTTTGTTAATAGTTTCTTCTAAACTTCTAATTAAATTTAAAAAGTCAAGCGATTGTACCGCCATCTAGTTGTTTGACGTCGCAACAAAGAGACAATTACATTGTGTAGTGATTTTAAGTGGGGGGAGAGCGAACGCTCAGCTGGGTCGGCCAGTTGAGTGGGAGCTCACTTTGCTGCGGATTTTTGAAGCGAAAACATTGTAAGTAAAATCCATGTCACTCTGTATAAAACAATAGACTTAAACTTATTCTGTATTTTGATTTACTATCTAACATTAATCTTTATTGTGTTAATGTTACCTTTAAATAGAACATTGAGTTTAATCGTTGTTTCTTTGGTTAAAATACAAGTTTAGCGTTTACAATATTGCTGGCAGAACTGATGACTAGTATAATCTGAGGTTCTGCTTATTTTTTTAAAAAATTATTCACCTACCTTAAATTCGACATATATATATTAATTAATTTACCATAAAAAGATACATCTACTTCAAAAATCCATCTTTTTTGAATGGCTAATAATCAACGGGCTATGGTTTCGTCTACTTGCTCCACTTTACTCGCGTTTCGGTTTTAGTCTATAGTTTTTCGAA